AGCACCCCCAGAGTCAGCACCCGAAGTCTCAGTACCCCCAGGCTCAGTACCCTCGGCCTCAGCTCCCTCAGTCCCAGCACCCTCAGGCTCAGTACCCTCAGTCCAAGCACCCGCAGGCTCAGTACCCTCAGTCCCTGCACCCTCAGTCTCAGCTCCAGTGTCCACAGCAGAAGGCAGCAGAGGCGGCGGAGACGGCAGAGGTGGGAAACCGGGGGGGGTAGCCAAACGAGGAGAGCGGACACCCCCAGACGCACCACCAGCTCTAGCAGTCTCAGCTCCAGAGTCCACAGCAGCAGGCTGCGGAGGCGGCAAAGACGGCCGAGGCGGGAAACTCGGGGGGGTCTCCAAGCGAGGAGTGCGGCGAGTGGTCCCCGTGTCGTCGGCGGCGGTGTCACCCCCCTCAGCTGGGTCAGAGGAGTCAGAAGAGATCTCCACTGGCTCATCCAAGGGGGGTGGGTCTACCTGAGACACACCTGCGGGAGCAGGACCCTGTGGGGGAAGGGGGTCTACCGGGGGGGGGACTGGTACCAGGAAAAGAGGCGCGAGGGGGACCGGGTGGGATGCGTGTGGGTGAAGTCAGTAGTAACAGACCGACTCGTCGAAGGTGACGTCCTGAGAGGACAGAACACGACGCGAGGCAGGGTGGTAGAACTGCCAGGGCGGGGCGTCGGTGGGGAAGCCCGGGAAGACACAGCGGAGAGTGCGAGGAGAGAGCTTGCTCGCTTTGGTATCGCGAACAAGGGAGAGCGCGCCCCAGACTCGAAACGACGACGCATCACCAGGCTGTCCCGTCCAACGGAGTGTGGGCGAGGTCTCTGGAGCAGAGACACGGGGCCAGAGGTTGAGCTGATGCGCGGCGTATCGGACCGCAAACGGCCACAGGAAATGGGGAGCAGCCGCATGGATCATGGAGGTATGAGCAACCTCCATGATCAGGCCAATGCGACGCTCAGCGATCCCATTTTGCTGCGGAGAGGCCGGAAGCGTGAACGACTGGGCGATGCCCTCGTCCGGACAGAACGTCTCAAGGACGCCAGAAGAGAACTCACCACCCCTGTCAGAGTGCAGACGCAGGACTGGAAAGTCCCGCCGAAACCGCTCGCGCAGCTGGTGACGAGTAGCACGGATCCAGGGGATCAAGACACCACTGACATCCGCCTTGCGCCGCAAGGGGAAGACGGTGGTGTAGCGTGTGTAGTCGTCAACAACCAGCAGGAAGTAGCGCTCCTGGTCTGGTCCACCGACGGGGGCCGGGCCCCACACGTCCAGGTGGAGAGTCTGCAGAGGAGCAGTGGTCGGAGGAAACTCGGAGGAGTGAGGAGCGGCGCGCTGCCGCCCCTCGACGCAAGGAAGGCACGGCGGCGCAAGCGAGCGCGGGAGGGGGGGCAGGGTCGTAGGGAGGCCAGAGACCAGGAGCCGGGAGTGCATGCCGCGCAGACGCGGCTGGGAAGGGTGGCCAAGACGGTGGTGCCAAAGCTGAGCAGGGTGGGTGAGGAGGCGACACGAGTAGGACGCAGCGAGCTGACCAGACGCAGCCACCTGACCAGACGCAGCTACATGTGCAGACGCTGTGGTGAGTGTGTACAGGTTCGACCCCGGCTGCCGGGTGAACGTAGCCAGGTGACGGCCAGTCTTGGTGCATGTGCAGATCGCCACACGCTGGCCTCTAGGAGTAAAGGTGTCAACCCATACATCCTGAAGGATGGCATTGCTCACCAAGTTCGTCGAGAACAAGGGGAGGTGGAGACCTGACAGAGAGCCAGAGGGGACAGCTGGGCACGGGAGGACAGTGGAGTGGCGTGCAACCACCGGGCCCCCAGAGGGGTCGGCCAGGGAGACTGGGACTGGTGTAGCGAGTGGGGTGACAGTGATGCAGTCGTGAAAGAAGCAACGGGATGCACCAGAGTCAAGTGTGAAAGTGTGCAAGACCTTAGCAGTGGCAGCAGACTCACTAGCACCTGGGGCAGCAGCGACACTAGCACCTAGAGCGGCAGCAGACTCACTAGCACCTGGAGGAGCAGCATCCGCACCAGCATCGTTTTGTACACACGAGTAACACGCACCCTCAACACTAGAGTCAGCAACATACATGGCATAGAGAGCAGCATTGATCTTAGCAAAGTCAAGAGAAAACACATCTACCCCCTTCCCCATCAGCTGCAGCCAGTTCGGCACCTGCTGGTCCTCGGTGTACTCAGCCACCCAGGCATCCTCAAGACGGCCGAAGCACTTGTACTCAGTGTGCGGCTTCCCGCAGACCGCTCCCTTCAGAGGCCCCGTGCGCCGGACATACGGGCAGCGACCAGAGCCCCCACGCTGGAGAACCCACTCACGGAGCTGCTGATCGGTGGGGTTGTCTGGGAGGCGCGGCAGCTGCTGACCACTCCCATAGCCATGGGATGGTCCACGAGCGCTACCACCTCTGCCAGACCCACCCCGACCTCCTCCACCGCCCCCGCTACCCCCACCGCCTCCACCACCACCGCCGCCTCCTCCACCCTGTCCGCCTCGACTGCCGCCACCCCCAGAGCCACCCACAGAGCCTCCACCACCCCCGCCACCACCCCCGCCACCCCCTCCGCTGCTGCCACCACCACCACCCCGGCCCCCTCTGCCCTTGCTGTTGTTGCGCCTTCCACTGGGAGCAGACGCAGCGCCAACGTCCTCAGCACCAAGGAGGTCGACTGCAGCAGCGGTAGCAACTGAGGGGAGGAGAGGGGAGGGAGTACACCTTTCAAAGAAGGGGGAGCGGGGAGTGCCGCGAGAGGCAGCGACAGAGACAGTGTCTTCTCAACCTCGAGAAGGGACTTCTCAAGTGAGTCAAGCGTGAGCTCAGTGGGGTCAAAGGCTAGGAACTGGTCCCTGACAGTGCGAAGGGAGTCAGGGAGGCGAGTGACGAGAAAGTACAGGGTGAAGTACTGCGGGGGGGGGGGGGGGTGTTCTTAGCGAGAAAGGCCGGCTTGAGAGCGGCACAGAAGCGATCCTCACTAGAGCGGAGGTGGGTAAAGAGGTCAGAGACAGTGCGGAACTCAGCTAGATCGGGATGCAGGTACGGCAGCATGAGACGGCCTATGGCAGCAGTAGCTGGGGAGGAGTAGCAAGCGACGACAGCATCATAGAGATCTTTGGCAATTTTCTGCTGGCTAAAGTGCGCGCGCTCAGTGACGGGCAGGTGGTTGAGGACAGCAAGGCGGGCAGCGGCATCACGCATGAGCCACTTCGACAGATCCTCTACAGCGTCGGCAGCAGGGGCTGAGAGCTTTCCCTCGGTGTGCAAAAACAGGGAAATACCATCCTTAGACTCGCTCTGCAGAAACAGTTGGAGATCGCCGAGCCATACATCAAAGGTAATCGCGTGGCCCTCAGCATCGAATGTAAGAACTGACAGGTTAGCCATAGCAGCAGTAGCAGTAGCAGCAGCGGCAGCAGCAGCAATAGCAAGTGCAGTAGCAGAAGCAACAGCAGTAGCAGTAGCTGCAGCAGTTAAGGCTCTGACTGGGCGGCGCGGCTCGGGCAGGGCGTCGCGGCTCGGGCTGGGCGGCGCGGCTCGGTAGGGCGGCGCGGCTCGGCAGGGCGGCGCGGCTCGGGCTGGGCGGCGCGGCTCGGCAGGGCGGCGCGGCTCGGGCTCAGTGGTGTAGCAGCTGCTGCAAGTAGCAGCAGCAGCAGTAAGTAGCAGCCACAGCAGCAGGCGCTCAGTAGCAGTAGGAGCGCGCGGGCTGTGGGCGTGCAAGCCAGGGGCGCGCAGCAGGTGCGCGCCGGGCAGTGCAGGAGGGGCGCGCAGCAGGTGCGCGCTGGGGGCTGGCGGGCAGCGCGAGAGGCGCGCGCAGCAGCAGGAGCGAGGGGGGACCGGGCGCAGGAGTTGGCGGGCCGCGCGAGTGGCGGGCAGCTAGGGCGCGACCGTAAGAAAACGTAGGGCCGCGCGGGCCGTTTGGGAGGGGTCGTGACAGTGAGACGGGGGCGCCAGCGCGCTGGCAGCAGTGTAGTGCGTGGCGCTACCACTAGGCGGAACAGTGGGCCCACGTAGGAACGGTTCCTACTCTGATAACATGTCAAGAATAGAACTAGGAAGGGATGGTGGAGTTAGGCAGGAAGGGGAGTACAAGTAGGGTGAAACCTAACCCTAAAGTGGTGTACTCAATATAGGCAACCCTACTACAGCCTAGAGAGATAATTGTAATTTGACAAGAATGGGAAAGAATGGGAAAGAATGGGAAGAATGGGAAAGAATGGGAAGAATGGGAAGAATGGGAAAGAATGGGAAGAATGGGAAAGAATGGGAAAGAATGGGAAGAATGGGAAAGAATGGGAAGAATGGGAAAGAATGGGAAGAATGGGAAAGAATGGGAAAGAATAGGAAGAATGAGAAAGAATAGGAAGAATGAGAAAGAATAGGAAGAATGAGAAAGAATAGGAAGAATGAGAAAGAATAGGAAGAATGGGAAAGAATGGGAAGAATGGGAAAGAATGGGAAGAATATACTCTTACGTCAGCCGGGAATCGAACCCCGATCTTTTGCTTGGAAGGCAATTAGCCTAACGATTGGACAACTGACGTATTCACTTGCGTATCCTCTGTTCAATTATATATCTAATTATATTTTATCGAGGTCCAGCAGTCAACACTGTTCTGCTCCGTGTGCGACACGTCAGCCCTGGCATTGGCTGAACGCTTGAAAATACAGTGTCAGAGCCATCTTGGCGACGGATTGACGGAACTTTGGCGCGAATACAATTACGCGAAGCCCCACCGTTTTCGCACACCTCGCCTCCCTCTTCGCATCCCACAACGCCGCCATGGCGAAGAATCCAGCAGCTGCTCCGTCGCCCAGCGGCACCGCTAACCCTAATCATGTTGACACTGCGAATCCCTCCGCCGGGGGCCGCGCCGACGCCAGCGCGGTCGGAGTCTGTGCTGCCGGCGGAAGCGGCGTGGCGCGGAACGAGCGGAAGGAGCGGAGGGAGCGGATAGAGTCGCTGGGATGGCTGACGGAATCGGCGCTGATGCCGAAAAAACAGCGCGTGATCGAGGGCGTGAGCGCGGGCAGCCTGGTGTCGCTGCGCGCCGAGCTGTACAAGAGTCAGGAGCGCGCCAAGGAGGAAGGCGGCGGGGAGCCGCGGGTTAGGCGCACGGGAGGCGGAGCGGAAGGGGGGCTCGGGGACCTGTTTGGGGGGAGAAACGCGGGGGTTGAAGAACGCGCGCATAGGTGGGGCTGCCGCGTCTTCTGGTCTCCCGATCCCCCCTTCCCCGCCCTTCCCCTCGTCTCTCACCCATTCCCGTCATTCTCCACCTCCCGGAGGCGCATTGCAGCGAAGGGCGCAGAGCGACGGGGCAATCTCCCCTCCCTCCCCTCCCCTCTTCTCGACGCCACCTCAGTTCTTTCCGCTCCCACTCGCCCCTCTTCTCCCCCCCAACCCACTCAGAGATGCAGTGTCGCGAAAGGCGGACAGGGGCTCAGCGGACAACGTGAAGTGCCAAATCCCACCCGTGCTGCCGCAATTTTTTTACCTCTTCCCGCGAACCCCCTTCCTCGCCCCCATGCCAGGGACGCGCTGCAGTGGAAGGCGGAGAGGGACGTTGCAGGGCACCTGGAGCGCAAGGCAGCCATCTACGCGCGCCTGGCCAGGGGGGAGCGCGCCGAGGGGGAGGGCGCGCAGGGGGAGGGGGCGGATTGGGCGGGCGTGGAGGAGAAGTACAGCGTTGACTTCCTCAGGCGGGGCACGCTGGAGGAGGAGAGGCAGGAGATGGAGCGTGAGAGGCGGGGAGAGGTGGCACTGCTGCTGGGAGGGGCAGAGGGGGATGGGGGAGAGAGGGGAAGGGATGGGGGCGGAGCGGCAGGTGTGGTTGCAGGAGGGGGAATGCCGTCGACACAAAGGGAGCTGATCAGGTGGGTGCAGTGCAACGTTTTCGTTCTTTTGTGTGTAACCATCGGCTTGACTTCCCTGGCCACCCCATCACATGGCGATTGCTGCTCTGCACTCCTCTCTCCCCACCCGTTCCCTCTCACGGCGCATGCTAGAAAATGCTTGATAGAGGATGTATGCTGTGCATGGGAGAGCCGCATACGTCATCTTGTCATCCTATTCCCCAAGCACTGTGTTCACCTGTTTTCCGCCTGTCGCTCTCCATCCTTCTCTGTGGCTTGGGGCAGGGAGGTGATTGAGGAGACGCGGACAGCACGGGAGAGAGCAGCGCTGCTGAAGGCCAAGAGGCAGCAGCAGGCGGAGCAGAAGAGGGAGAAGCTTCGTGCTGCCTTCCTCAAGCAACAACTGCTGAAGGAGAAGGCGAAGAAAAAGGATGCAAAACAGGCAGGAGGGAAGAATGGGGGTGGGGAAGGAGGACACGTATAAATTGTTTTTTATGTTGTATATATTGTGTTGATCTCAGGCGTCTCAAAAAGCAAGCGTAAGCATCACTCATATTGACGATGTTATAAGAGCATTCTTTCTTGCTCCATATTTACTTGGAAAATATGTTAGTGAACTCGATTGTCATGTAGCGTTGATTTTCGGTAACGCATCGCACTTCTGTCGCGAACCCTGGGATATTCGTGGACCTTGTGCTTTGCCATTTCCAATCTTCGCTTTCCTCGCTGTCATCCCCGAGGCTCGAAAATCCAACTCACGCTGTTCCCCGCAAACCCCTTCGTCCCTCCCCTCATCCAAAAACCATTCCCCATCTGCTGGATTCATCGCCTTCCTGAACACGCGGGATCGCCATGGCGGATGACGCCAAGGGGCCAGAAGGCACGGAGGAAAATCGCGACAATGCGCGCGAAACAGGCAAGCTTTCGATTCCCGTTTCCCTGACACGATTTCGGTGCTGTAGCGGCTGAGAACTCCGTCCTCCCCGTCTGATTCCGTAGTAGTCACGGCTGTCGCTTTGCGTTGCAATAGGTCGTTTTCTCCGTGAATCGCGGCGTCTAACGCGTGTTCTGGTTCGTCTGCAGAGGAGGTCCGGGCGCTCAAGTCGACGCTGCGATTCCTCGTGTCGAACAGCGACGCGGGGTCCATCATTGGCAAGGGCGGTGTCGTGATCTCCGAATTCCAAACTCAATCTGGCGCGAAAATAGTGCTGTCGCGCGCGCGAGAATACTTCCCCAACACCACGGACCGCATCATTCTCCTCAGCGGCAGCGTCAGCGCCATTCTCACTGCTCTCCACCTCATTCTATCCAAACTCGCCGATGTACGCACCCGCGCTCCCATCTCCATCGCCGTCATCATCCCCACTCCCATCCCCGTTCCACATCCACATCCCCATCCCCATCACAATCCCTTCTCCATCCACTCCCATCCCCTCCATTCCCAACCCCATTCCTTTTCTGCAACCACGTGTCGTACTTCCTCTCGTGAACGACGGACGAATTCTTGTCTGCCTCCCTGCATCCTCGGATTCCATTTCATCGTCGATGTTTCGCCTCTCTGAAACGAAGCGCGCCCGTATTCCCGTGCTGGCAGGAGCCGCGGCGCAACGAGCCGGGCGCGCGGGAGGGCGACGCGGATCTGCGGATCGTGGTGCCCAACAGAGTGTGCGGCGCCATCATCGGCAAGGGCGGCGCCACCATCCGGTGAGGCGCGCGTGCGTCAGGTGCGGCGTGGTGCCGTCAGGTGCGGCGTGGTGTTGTCAGGTGCCTCATGCTGCCGTCACTATGCCCCCTCCCCCCACCTTCCACACCCCCCTCAACCTATCCGCCATTTGCGCCGACTCCGTCTCCCCCGCGCAGGTCGTTCGTGCAGCACTCGCAGGCCACCATCAAGCTGTCGCCTCGACGTGCTCTCACCCTTCCCTCCTCCATGTCGCCTCCTTATTCCCCCCCCTGCCTCCCCCACACCCCCCCCCCCCTCCCCCCCCCCCTCCCCCCACGCAGGTCATTCGTGCTGGACTCGCAGGCCACCATCAAGCTGTCGCCTAGATGTGCTCTTATGCAGCCCCTTCCACGCAGCTTCTTTATCCTCCCCCGTTGCCTCTCACGCTACCGCCTCCCCACGCAGGTCGTTCGTGGAGGACTCGCAGGCGACCATCAAGCTGTCGCCGCAGGACGCGGTGGGGCCAGGATTCGCGGAGCGCGTGATCACGATAGGGGGCACGCTGGAGCAGAAGTTGCGCGCGGTGGCGCTGCTGCTGACCAAGATGTCTGAAGACCCCACCTACGTGCAGTACGCTGACGTGCCGCTCTCCTACACCGGTGAGCAGAAAAGCCCTTGTACCTGCATGCCACTCCTCGCTCTCTCTCTCTCTCCTTCTTTCTCACGTTGTCGTCAGCGTCCACTCCACTCTGCTCCACTCCACTTCACTCCACTCCACTCCACTCCACTCCACCCCACTCCCCTCGACTCCCCGCCCTCTCTCCCACTGTGCTTCTCTCCTTGCAGGCGCGCCAGGCAGGGGTGGTTACAACGGCGACCCAGGTGGTTACGGGGGTGGAGGTTATGGGCAGGGCCAGGGCGCTTACCCAGGTTACCCCAACCCGGGGGGGTACGGCGGAGCTCAGTATGGCGGGTTGAGGGGGCCGCCCCCGTATGGCATGCCGGTGGTGCCTCCTAACCGGGGCAAGGTGCGTGGGGGTTGGGCGTTGGCAGTGTGGCAAACCATACGGCTTGGCTTGGAACTGAGCAAGCTGCATGGAAGGTGCTCTTGAGGGTGCTGTCACCTGGGTGCGTGGAAAGGCCTACTCATGGGCGTATTAGTTACGCTCATGGGTGGGTGAACGGCTTATTGATGTGAGGTAATGGATGGGAGAGATAGGGTGGTGAGCTGCTTCATGTGAAGCACTGAGTGAATGCTTGATGCTAAGCAGGCCATCGTTGAATCATGATATCCTGTAGGGACTCGATGGGGTTCACTATATGCTCCCTCCACCTCTGGAACTTGCTGGCCTCGCACTCTCTCGCGCCACCCACACCACGGGCAGCATTGGGAGGGTGCCTTCAGAAAGGGAGAGGGGTGGAGAGGCTCAGGGACATCGTTGTTCACACCTCCCCTTCCCATCGTTCTGGTGTTCAGAGGGAAGGGGGATGGAGGGCGGGTGGGGTGCTGGAAAAGAGAAGAGGTACATTGATAGGTGCTAATCAGATGCCGTTTGCATTGCCAATGCCCTCTCCTCCTTGCCTTCCTCCCTCCCTCCCCCCTCCATCCACCCTCCTCCCCCTCGCAGCAGGCGGCGCCGCCAATGCTACCGGGAGGGGTGGTACCGACGACCATCATAGTGGCGGTGCCGGACGACCACGTGGGCGCTGTCGTGGGCAAGGCAGGGCGCTCCATCAACGAGATCCAACAGGTGCAAGCCACACCACACCCCCAAACGTGTCCCTTGAGTGCTAATCTTCATCCTTCACTGGAAACTGCATGGGTTTGACATCTGTGATTATGGGATCTGCCACTTGCGTGGTTTTGTTGTTGGTATGTGTATGGATTCTAGAGACTGGCCGATGCTCCCGCTCTGCCCGTTCTCTTCACACACGTTTGCGTGTTGGCAGAGTTGGGTTGCAAGGGCATTGCACTGTGTTCTATCACCCACGTTCATGTCTCTTGCTTCATCTCACCCCCGTGCTTTCCACCTATGCATCTGCCCCTGTCCCTGTGCTGTGCTGTGCTGCCTTGCTCTGCCCCTGGCTGTGCCCCGCCCTGCTCTGCACTGCGCTCACAGAACACGGGGGTGCGCATGGTCATATCCGGCAGAAACGACTTTGTGGAGGGAACCAGAGACAGGTACGTCCTGCCCCGCCTCATGCTGCAGGCTAGACTTGAATGCCTGGGCTGCTGCTGAGCCTCACACTGTTGATATCTCCACGAGTGTGTGTGTGTGTGCAGGAAGGTGACAATAACGGGGTCATCAGAGGGGGTGGTGGCGGCGCAGCACATGATCGCACAGAAGGTGCAGCAGAGCATTGCAGCGAGCAGTGGGGACCATCACGGCGCCTCGCACAGTGGGGTGGATGACGGGCCGCCGCCTGGGCTGTAGGGTATAGGAGAGCTGAAGCACCCGTAGTGCTGCTTGGTGGGTTGTTATAGAATTTGCTTTGCTTTTTTAGGAGGATGGGGATGTGTGGTTGTACGGCAAGCGATGAGCAAGCAAGCTAGTTTCATGGCGGGTAGAGAGATGATATGACAAGGCAGCGCATAACATAGGCCAGGCCCCATTGATGAGTAGATGGGGTGGCTACTTGTATACACGAGGTATTCTCAGCACATTGTTGACAGCTGATTGAAAATTATAAATGCTCCTGGTTGCTAATGAATGGTAAGGCACGGTTTTGACCCTTGTGCCGACATACAGTAGCAGTAGTCAACCTACAACTGTGATCAAAGCTTATAATGAATTTTCCCTGAGAATCAGTGTTGTGAAAATCGAAAAATAAGCCGTGGGTGGAAGATGTCCGTCTATGAAGCATATTGTAGAGGAGAGACATAAGGGCAGCCACTACTGGTGGTGAAGCTTCAAGAGGCATATACCGTAGGTGCTTGGAGTGGAGCGTTGTCGCTGGAAGGGAATTGGCGATCAACGTTGGACTTGGAAGGGAATCCAATCTACCCTTAGATCCTTGACGACTGCTGTGCTGTTGTGGGTAGGGCTTTCGACCAGGTCCTCCCATGCACGCGCGGCTCTCATTGTCTGCGGAGTGTACATGATGGGGAGCTCTGTGGTAGACAATGCAAGACCTAGAGCATACCGGTACAAACACTGTGAAATCAACTGTGGCACCTCTCTTTAATAAAAAGCTGATGTTCTGCTGTACACAAGCAGAAGCACACATGAGTGAGCATTCTGAGGGGCACGAGTGGACATGCAGGCAATACCGTCATCGCCCGGATATAAGACATATGTATATTTTTAAAAGCTGTAACGCTTTTCAAAATTATGTATTTTGAAAGCGAAGCTGCTTGTAATGTAGGATTTGGCAGCGTCGAGCCGCGCTAAACGCCCGTTTTGGAGTACAAAACGTGGGCTGGAGGTCATTTCCCTCCACCCACGTCTCTCATTTTCAAACGGTTTAGCCGATTTTCATTCTCAATTTTCGTCTCCCACTCCCAAGCTGGCGAAGTTGAAGTCTCTTCCCCGCTTTCAATCCCCGTCGACTCTACTTTCGGACATTCTCACGCACAACGCAGAAACTATGGCACTTAACGGCGGCGAGGCTAATACCACTACCGCCTCCGCTCGACACGAGTATGGAAGAAACGCACGCGAAATTGCGGGCGATCGCCCGAACAAGCGTCGGGCAGACGACGGGGAAAATTCCCCGACTGGCGTCGACGTCCTGCTGGGCGCGACCGAGGCACACGCCCCTGGCGTCGAGGCACACGCCCCTGGTGTGCCTCGAGCCCCTGTAGCCCCTGACGCGCCGGC